GCGGCTCGGCCCTCGGAGCGATGCCTCGCTGCAAACTCATAAACGTAAGCTCGTAGCGGGGCCTGCCTCGCACGGTTCTCACGAATACGCATTCCAGGCACTTACAGTGAAAGCACTCGGGACGGTGCCCGGCACGTAAATTGTTAAGCACATTCTCACGCTTCCCCTCCCAGGCAACGCCGAGCCGCCCGTTAGGCGTCCGCGGCGGTTTCCTCCTGCGGACCCGGCGGAGGGATTGCTACCTGCGGCTGCTGTCGGGCCGGACCCGGAGGCTTCCTCCCAGAAACGCGCATCCAAGTGCTGCCCCTTCAGGCACAAGAGGGGGGAAAGGAGCCTGGATTGCATGTCTGAGCGTGAACAGTTATGTTACTGTAGGTCAATTTTTTAACACTTAGAAAATAAATTTAATATTTGTGACCGTAGTTACTCTCCAGAGTGAGGAATAAAGCACGCTAGCAGTTCGGTGTTAATAATAAAAATTGCTCACATGTAAGGAACTTCATATAAAGAGGAGGGCACACCAAAATGTACCTGCGCCAACTATACATTATTTTATGTGCACATCCTCCCGATATTTTTAGTACAGTATGATCCTATGGTCATGCTTTTTAAAAATTTTTATTGAATTTATTGGGCATGACTTTGGTTACTAAAATGATAGTTTTCAAGTGTACAATTCTATAATACACCACCCCAAGTCAGGTCTCCTTCCATCACCATTTATCCCCGTTTACCTCCCTCACTCTCCTTTCCCTCTGGTAATCACCATACTGTTGTCTGTATCTATGAATTTTTGGGGGGGGGATGGGCATATTTATTTTTTAAATATGTTTTTTATTGTTAATTATATTACAGATATCTCCCATTTTCCTGGGCATAGTATTTTATGATGAGCTTCTTATGAAACAACTAGAGGCTCGATGCCCGAAATTCTTGCAAGGGGCTCGGCCCTCGCAGGCCTGGCTTCGTCCGGAAGGTCATCCGGAACGTCGTCTGGATTATTAGAGATACATAGTGAACTCTTCTTGTTCAATGTCATTTTTTTACCTTTTTTTAAAAAAAAAAACAAAAAAACACCACTTCAGATTTATAGAAGAGTTAGTTAAAAAGCTAGTTCCCATATATTCTTTCCCCAGCTTCTAGAATTCTGTGCCATTGGCCAGTACAGTTCACACCTGTCCTTGTCCAGCCAGCTTAGTCCGATCCGGCTGGCGCTGTATTGCCATACTCAGGCTCAGGCTCAGGCTTGGATTTGCACTTGGAGTCCGTGCATGGCTGTTAGGAGAGAAACGCAGGAACAAACTGGTGAGTGCATGTTACTGAGTGAGAGTGTGAGAGAGCTTTGTTTTTGTTAGGCTGATTACTTTTTCTGGGCTTGGGAAAAACTAGGAGCCCTTTCAAACCAACCAACTTCTCAATCGTTCTAGCATTGGGTTCTCCCCTTAACCAATCCATTTCCTAGATCTTCCAGGGTTCTATGTCCCTTATCCAATCCAGTCCTTTGCCCAGGCTAGACCGACAGGCCTCTATGGTTCCTAACTTGGCTCCTACTGTGCATGTCTCTTAGTAAAAGCACCTCCCTTGTGCCATCTTGGCTTCTACTGGGCATGTGCCCCAGCAGAGGAATTTCTGCTGTTTTTATTCCTCCGCTGGTAATGACCAGTAACAGTCCTTCCTTCCATGCCTAGGGGATTAGGTCTCCAGGGTGGAGGATGCCCCGGACCAGCATGTCAAACTGGCACCCCATGGGCCGCATGCAGCCCACAATGAATATTTTTGCGGCCCAGCCAATATAATGGTTTGTAAAAAACGTTTTAATAAAAAGTTCATAACTTAACTTTTACAATATCATGTTATACATAATCCTATAAAATAA